GTGTTTTATATCATTACTGTTTTAAAACATATATTTCTTTTAAGACAAACCCAATTAAAATAAAAAAGTTACAATTATTTGATCAACATAATTGTTTTTTCATTGATGATATACATGGAGAGTCTTACAAAATGAACAATTTAAATTATGAAAACGGGACTTGTGGATGGCTCCCTGATTCCTTCGAGTTCTTCAAGATTAATTTGAAGTTAAGAAAATGTGAAAGTAATTTCATATTTTTAAATTAAAATATTAAGATGTAGAAAATATATAAAAATACTTCATTTAAATTTTAAAATTTATAAAAAGTTAAGTTGTTTATACCTCTCATAAAAAAAATGGTGGGTCGTTATACACACCAAATATAAACACTAAATTATACCAGTTTTTTTTTAAATAATGACAAGTCCAGGTATCGATCCACAGGGATAATTGTGAAATTAGACTAATTTAATCGCTAAATTCCTAAATTAATTTGGGAAAAGTTAGGGATCGTGAAAAATCTTTCATGAAAATAATCATGAAAGCTTTGTGACCATTGGATTACCTTGATTAGTGTGTAGTGTTTTATTTTAAGTGTAATCCAAGAGTCACAAAGTTTTCATGATTATTTTCATGAAAAGTTTTTCATGATACCTAACATTGCTGAATTAATTTTGATTAAAAAGATCAAGAGATTTTATGACTAAACAGGAATTAAATGAAATTGAGAAGTTAAATTGACAATTAAACGTAGGGTTTGAGAGATGGATTTTTGGAAAAAATCCTAGGGTAAAAAATTCACCACTAACTATATAAACGAGATTAAACATCGGCCAATAATTGCAATCCGGTTTAAAATACCCAATATTTCACAACTACAAGTTTGAAATATTGATCAAGAGGGTTGTTGCATTCAACGTACAGGCACGAATCATCCTGAGTAGCACGAGGCGTTTGCTCTAAACTACGGTAGCAACACAACCCGCATCTCGTAGTATGACTCGTCTCGTACTTTGAATACAAACACAAAGAATGCTAATGTATGGAAAGCATTAAATAATCACAGAGAGTAAAATACTTAAAAAGATGAAAAGAACAATTATTATAAACTTCTAAAACATCCATACATGTGTTCAAACCGTTTTACAATTAAAGCCTAAGAAAAATCCCTTTTACATGGCTAGGATTTCATCAAAACCCTAGAAAAGGAGAGTCTAGCCACTCATGGAGGAGTGGGAAGAGATGGAAATCCCCATGAAAATTGCCTCTCAAGCTTAAAGAAAAATCCTTCTCTAAACCCTAGCCTCCATTTTCTTAGAATAAATTTCGAACCCATTCACCCAAAAAAAAAATTTCGAACCCTAGGTTAGCCTATTTTTCCTTCTTTTATTCTCAGCAAAACACACCCAAAAATTTATGCACGCGCCCCTAGGTGGGCCTCTGGAGCGGTGGTAGAGCTGGGCCGTATGTGCGGTGAGGTAACTAGCTCGGATTTTTCTCTTCCCGCACGAAGAATCTGCTTTCACGCCCTTTTTGATTGAATTTGCATATTTCCTGTCAAATCTGTACAAATGCACAAACACATCATCTCCACCAAATAATCAGAATTGAAAGATTATAAATGTAACTTAAATGATCTCAATGTGGTACCTTTCGGCCTACATCAGAAAATACGCAAATAATCAATTTAAATAATTTATATTTTCTCATACAAATATTTTATTTTAACATTTGATTCATGTTGTGCACAGACTTTTTTTTTTCTTTTTTTTTCAACATCTATATTATATATAAAGTGAATATCTATCTTTTATATCTATCTATACTGTATATAAAGTGAACAAGTCATTTGGTGTCTAAGCCTTCTTCTCATGCCAAGTGTCCCTTATTTCTGTAAGAGAATAAAAAAAATAAAATTTTGAAGTAGTGAGGGGATTTGAACCTAAGCCCATTGGTCTTGTAAGCAACACTTTTATTATTTGAGCAATAGACACAATATGTTTTTAATTCAAAATTAAAATTTATATTTTATAGATTTAACAATACACCCATCTGGTGGGCACACATCCATTAGTAGAATATATAAAAGAATAACACTTACATTTTCAGTTTTCTGTTTTTATTTACAAAAATTTAAAAAACTCAAATAAAAACTTGTTTGATAAAATTTTTGATTTATAAATCAGTGGTCTCAGTTTATAAATTTGGCCAAAAAATGAAAACACAAAAAATGTGTTTCCGTTTTGAGTTTTGAGATTTTCTTTTTTACCACCCAACACTAGCCACCACACGCCACCATTTTCCACCACCGTCTTCCGACACCACCACCCACCGTCCACCCCCTACCACCTCCACTCACCACCCACCTGCCACCACCACCTGCGGGGGGCTGTTAACATATAATATACATATAATATATCCCCCACTATGTATAGCTGTATCCTTGCATCTGTAAAGGCAACCTTAGGCAACCTTGCATCTGTAAAGGCTCCATGTGTAGCTGTAAATTCCAGGCATCCAATGCTAATTGTCTCCCTCTCCTCTCTATAAAGAGAGGGAGCTTGCTCTCTTGTAATAATATTGAAACATAATACAATTACACCAACTTTCAGTTCCTCTCTTTTTCTCTCCCTCGTTACCAAACTCACAACCACCACCACCACCAGTATCATGGTGGGGGCCAAGGAGGAGGAGGCACTTACACTGCTACTCTCCAACCACCACAACCACCTCCTCAGTGGGGCCCTCGGCCAGTTCAGGGCCAGCGTGGCCCTTACATGCGGCCGCCCCCAAGAGTGAGACCTACGAGGCAGGATTCTGGCGAAATCTCTGATAGAGGTAGGGGAAGAATTCCAGGGCGCCGCGGTTCTGGGAGGGCTTGCCAACCTGCCCCTGCTCCTCGAACACAGTCACTGAGCTCTCCTGAACCTCCTCCTCGTCCTCGTCCTGGTATATATATATATATATATCTCTAACTCTGCTTCTACTATATCCTTAAACGTATTTATATCTTTATATCTTTACTGTGTTTTCTTTTTTCTGTGTTTTTTTACTGGCGAAAGTTAGCACAGCAGTTAGTTGTTGGATTAGTACTGAAAGACAAATTGAGAGAGTAGTATTGAAAGAGAATTCTGTAATGTAAACTCTATATTCAGAATCAAGATAGAGGCTCCATAATATAGGAGCTGGATACAAAAACATCATGATGATACAATTTAATATAATAAGAAAAAGGGGCCGAAAGATGGCGGACGACCGAAAGCGGGGACAAAGGGAATCCTATCTTTTGATATTATATACATGCTATAATTGGTTTCTATACTATAATATATTAACAGATATAGTATTATATTATATTCATATACAATTATATTCATATATTAACACGTACTATTGATTGGATTCACAATTAACATAATTCTTGAAATACAGAATAATTATTCCATGGCAATAGAATTCTTAAAAATATAAGGGATGGTTTGGCCAATTGCTTTTAGCATTTTTTTTATAGTATTTTTTAAAAATCAATTTTTCTTCTTCTTCATTTCTAGGGACTATTAGATTAGAAGATCCTAAAAATTAAAAAATAATAATTAAAATATTTTTTAATACAAATCTAAAAAAATAATTTTTAACATTGAGACGAATAAAGATCAGAATCCCTTGACAAGGATCGAAACTCGCGAAAGCGAACGCAACACCACTATGCTACAGAAGCTACTTTTAATAAAAAAGTTTAATTTTAATATAAATCGAATTAGTATAGTTTTACAAAAAATTAGTAATCAATCAAATTAAGCCTTAAATCTCATAAAATGGGATCGGTTATATGAACTATTTTTCTCTACTCAATTCTATAAAGTAGGATTTATTTTCATAAAGGATTCGAGTTGTTTTTTTACGTGTTGGCTATCGGTTATCTAACACATAATCATATTCCTTTTCTCGGACTTGGGACCGGCGAAGTTGTTAAACAATTTTGGCAAAATTTTTACAAAAAATTAGTAATTAAATAAAAAAGTATCTGTGAATTTTATTCTCATTTTATTAACTAAACTAAATTAAAGCAAAAAATTTAACTATGTTTAGTATCATTTTCAATTTTGTAAATTTAAAACTTGTTTGACAAATTATTTCAAACACTATTTCATTTTTTTAAATTTTTTTTCTAACAGGCAAACTTTTTTATTTTAGAAAAAGGCAAATTACAAACACTCCCATCGAGATTTGGTGAAAATACAGATTTCCCCCTAAGATTTGAGAAATTACATCCCGTTCCCTGAGATTTATATTTTCATAACAAATTGTCCCCTGAGGTTTTTATTTTCATACAGACTCCCCCTAATTTTTCCTAATTTGTCATGAAAATTTGACCCTCAGGAGGTAATTTGTAATTTCTCAAACCTCAGGAGGGAATCTGTATTTTTACCAAACCTCGAGGGGGTGTTTGTAATTTGCCCTTGTAATTTCTAGTATTATAGGACCAATTCTTATTTTAAATAAACTTTATGGTTGTATTTGTAATTTGTTAAAAAATAAAATATTTATGTTTCATAATTGACTAAGAATATTTGCATAATTACAAAAAAAAATTCAACCACAATGTAGGCCACTATAAATAAATTATTCAAAATAAAAGGACAAAAAAAAAAAACTGGCCATAAACATGTAAGCAGGTGTCGTTTGATAACACTTACATTTTCAGTTTTCTGTTTTTATTTACAAAAATTTTAAAAACTCAAATAAAAACTTGTTTGATAAAATTTTTGATTTATAAATCAGTGGTCTCAGTTTATAAATTTGGCCAAAAAATGAAAACACAAAAAATGTGTTTCCGTTTTGAGTTTTGAGATTTTCTTTTTTACCACCCAACACTAGCCACCACCCGCCACCATTTTACCAAAAGAAGGCGTTTTAAAATTATATTTCGTTTAATTTTTTATAATTTTTATAAAAAAATATATATAAAAAAAATGGAGAGTATAATGTGATTATTTATTTGTTTATTTATTTTTTAACATACGGTTGCCTTGCCCGAGAACAATCAACACGCCAAAAAATGTCGCAGCACAATCTCAACTCTTCCCTTTCTCTGTATCTGTCCCTCTCCCTCTCCCTCTCCCTCTCAACCCCACCTCGATTTTTCTAAAAGGTACGACGATTTTCATTTTCATTTTCATTTTCATTTTCTATGCTTTATCTCTGTCTATATCCATATCTAAATCCGTACTCAGTCGCTATTCGATTATTGCTGATTATTAGTTTTGGGTTCGTGTCCATTGGCGTGATTGTCTCTCTCTCTCTCTCTCCCCCTTATCTGGGTTTGGTTTTTTAAAGCCCTACTTTCTGTTGTCATGTTTGATTCATTCTTCCAGATTTTGCACTAATTTGGAAATCGTTGTGAAAATTGAGGGTTTTGAAAAAGTTTCTTCTTTTTTCTTCTCAGTCTGTGCATCCAATGGCGATCATTTGAATGGGTATTAGGTCTTGGATCGGACTATGCGCATGCACGATCAATTGTTGCCGATATATGTTTAATGTTGATTTCTGTCTCTACCTTTGTTTGCAAGCTGGTTTATGGGTTCTTTTCCTCATGTGTATATATATATATATATGAATCTGTTTGCATGCAGTTGTGTTTATTTGTTATTTATCATGTTTTCCTTCAGTTTCCATTTATCAATTTTCAGATTTGGTTGTTAGATTGGAACAAGTTCTGAATTCAGTAGGTTCTAACTTTAGGTCGCTTTTATTGCCTTTCTTGGTTAATGTATTAAAATTTTTTGGCAGATGGGAAAAATTGAACCCTTAAGCATTTAACAGCATTGTCGACCTTCTAAATTATAAATTTTGCTTTTTTTAAAAAAAAATACATAATACTACTGGCGGAAAGTTTTAGTATTAAAACATTTGCCTTTCCAGTTATGAGTAATTTGTTGTGGTTGATGGCATGGAGTTGGAGATTTCTTTTATGTTTTATGGTAACCTCATTTAGGTTTCGTTGATGCTGCATAAGTGCATTATGCATATATATTTTTTGATTTGGCAAGTTTTATTCTTTCAGCTAAATGAGTATTAGGATGTAGCCACCGAATACTAAAGTTTATACATTTTCAAATATCCTTAAAAGGGTAGGTTATATATTGGAACTGAAACTGATTATACATACAGAAAATTCTAGTTGGTTGAAGTTTAAATTGCATGTCGTTAGCTGCATGAGACCACTTGCCATTCTTTCAATGCTCAATTCAAACTACATTGCAAATTGCATGCATAATGCACATGCATGATATTGCAATACACCAATAAAACAAACACGTGATATATTATATACATGATGTGTTTTTCTATAACAAATTCAAAATTAAAAGAATTTGGAATCCTATGGCCCTGTTTGGTGGAGCTTTTTTTTAAGTTAAAAGTTGATAATCAGAAAGCAGAAGCTAAAAGCACCCCTACCCCAGCTTCCAAATAATCAGCTTATTTAAGTTATTTCTGCCTAATAAGCTATAAATAGAAGTTACACCAAACAGTTTGGCACGGACTCCCAAATCAAAATAAGCTATAATCACCTCCAAAAGCTGTAACAAATAATCCCTATGTTTGTTTGGGATGGAGTCTAGTTGTGAGATTCGGTAATTTTTTCTTCTTCATTTTCTTACTTATGAGTTACTAAAGGAGAAAGTTGGGTTTTGACAAGCATGCTACGAGCATGTAAACCTGGGATGGCATGGGCATTGTATTATAGAAGTTTTAACTTATCAACAAAAAAAAAAAAAAAAAAAAATTGTATTATAGAAGTTTTGCCCATGCATGCACTTGATGGGATATGTGGGGATGCTCAAAAAGGCAAATGTATATGATATGCAATGTGTCTTGTATATAATTTCTTTGCTTTCTGTATGGGATACTATACAATTATTAGTGTCACCTGGATGTCACCAACTATTGGGTGCCATGCTATGGTATGAATTTAAGTTATGCTTTTCCATTAAAGCAAGGGAAGGGAATAATTAGATCCACCTACATTTAAAAACAAAAAATAAAAAATTGTTTGGGTAAATTACATTGACCAACAACCTTGAGTTTTTAGAAAAAAATACCATAAGTCCCACAAGTCATTGATGACCTCCTTTTTAGTAAGGCTAAAGTGATCGGAGCTAATGCAGAAGTGTATAGACACAAGAATGAGCAAGGGTAAAACATACATTTTAGTACAAAAAAGATGACATCATTTTTTTATCCATATAACTAATGAATTACTGATGAAAAGGGGGGGTAAGTGTTATATAAATATTAAGGGAGATCAGTGTAATTATGTCAACAATGCGGGGCTAACTGTATTTTCTATAAATCTCAAGGGAGGTGAGTGTAATTTACTCTTCTTTTTTTTTTTTGCTGTTTTGTTTTGATGACATCATCCTATGGTGTGATGAGTCATGCTGATTGACGGTTGATTGGCTAATGTGATGGATGTATGCTAGCCAAACCCAACAAAAAATGCTTTAGGAAGTACTTTTTGTTTTGAGGTCAAGGAAGAGACAAGCATTCCAATGTATTTTTGTGCTCTTACATTTGTACATCAGCTGCAAAACTTTGATGGAAGTATAAGATGTGTCCTTATAAATATCTAGTTATCTATTGACAAGAAACATAGGAAAATATCTACGACACATTATGTCATCGTGAAATGTATTTAAGGTTTGGCAATATTGTTGATGTTTAAGAGAAATTTTTATTCACATGCATATAAGGAAAAAGTGATTTGTTTACAATGTCTTGTTGTAGAGTGATCATAAAGAACCATATATTTTAGAGCTAGTGATGCGGAACGTGTGTGCACCATGGAGTTTTTATAATTTTGTCTTTAATATTCATTATCTAATTTATTTTAGTATTTTATTTTTAATTTTAGTTTAATTAAGAGTCTTATGTAATTAAGAGTTTACTTTAGTGGGTTTCCTTTTTTTATTAGGGATTTTATCCTATATAAGTATTAGGTTTGCATTGTATTCTTTAGCTTTGAATAATGAAAAATTGAAGGTTTTATTTTGTGGCCCTTTTCTTATTCCCCTCTCTTCCTTCTTTCTTACTTTCTTTAAAGCGTTCTACATCAGTGAGGCTTGAGATCTCATCAAACAGTTATCAAAGCGGTTTCTATAATGATCATGAAATAAATTATAGAATGGCTGATAGAAAAACTAAATACATTATAAAATGCAAAGTTCAAACATGATCATATTGGAGCTTAAGATTGGAGAATATAACTTAAGATCCTTTCTCCAAGTAGTTTTTATTCAAGTGTGAGGCCAATATGGAAGGTTTGAGGTTCAACAGTTGATGTGTGCACTCGTTTTATTTTTTTTTATTATTATTTTTTTGATAGGTAAAATCTCTCTAAAAGGAAGCAATAAGGGAATGCCACCCACATCCAAAAGAGAATAAAAGCAAGAAAATCCTACACACCTTGTGTATTGAAAAACCTTTACAAAATTCAAAGATTTGGTCACAAGAGGGGTTAACAGCTCACGGCTCCAAACGGTACAAAAAGCTTACTAAAATACTCTTTAACCCGTGAGGGTAGACCAAATACAAGCAAAGAAACCTCTCAAAGCCCACGAGGATATAGTCACAATAAAAATTGCTCAAACCACTAAGCATAAAAACACTCACATCCGAAGTTAGGAAGATAACAAGGAGAATTAACACTATAGAAAAACCAAACCGAACTATCCTACCTCTTAAATATCAATCTTTCTTGAACTTACATGCTTGGCATTTAGCTTTAGGAATGATTGTCTTGGAAGCAAGGTTCTGAAAAGCGGTTGTGGTCGCCGTAACGGTGGCGGTGGCGGTGGCAGTGGCGCGGTTGCGGTTGAGGGGTGTAAAGGCCGTAGCGTAACGGTTGCGGTAACCGGAACCATGAATTTTTTTATTTTTCGCACAATTTGAAAAAAACTTACCGATACGCATATTTTTTTTCCCATGATCATATTTATTGGGTTTAAAATAAATATTGATCAATTTTTGTAAATTTTTAAGTATGATTCAATATATTTCATATTTTTAAATCACTATAAACTGAGTTTTTTACATTTTATTTTAATAATTAATGACTTTATATTATACAAAAAATCAATCACTAACTATTATATATAAGATATACAATAACAAAAGTAAGAGAATAAATAAGAGTCTAAATATATATATATATACATATTTTAACCAAGTCAAATAGATAATGACCACACCTATTATTATTATTATTATTTTCAAATAATATATAGATAGACACACACAAACAAAATGGTTGAGTGATAGCAGCTGAATAGAATGGTATAGGTCTTACAGCTTCAACAAATCAATAACATGTTCATCTTCCCTCTTCTCTCTCTCTATCTCTTGTTCCTCCATTTTCTCTCTTTATCTTCCCTCTTCTTCCATTTTTAGCTTTTTTTTGTCAGTTTTTTCGAAAGAAACAATTTGGAACCGTTACGTAACAGTGCGTAACAGGCCATTACGACTGTTACGGCACCGCTACGACCGCTACGGCAGCCGCTATGGCCGACACACCTGTGAATCTCAATCACATTGCAAAAGTGGCCGTCACGGGTGGCAGTAACCACTAAAACCGTTACGTAACGACGTTACGTAACGGTTGCGGCCGCTTTTTAAAACCTTACTTGGAAGTTTAAGGTTTCATATATTTTCTACAAACTCATTTCGATTTTCATCCCTTGGTGATGTCATGCTACACATGTTCAACTTACATCCACCTTTCAATGGAGTTAGATTCTTCTTCCACCTTAGTTTCATCAATCCGACAATTGCTTTAGTCAACACCATCTCTCAGGTGACCTTCACCATTGTGCTGAATTTCCTCTAAATTAACTTATGTTCTATGCAATTCACTTTTCATAATTGACCTTTGGTTTCCACACTATACTAACCCAAGATTCAAGAGTGCCTAAGTAATTGGAAGATGATGCCACGGATTTGGATCTTGCATAGTGGAAGTCGCCTTTGTGGGGGAGCCTAGATTTGAAACACCAATTTCCTTGCCGAAACGTTTCACAAATTGAGCATCTTTATGGGTTTCAAGTAGTTTCAACTCTAATCTCAAAATGCTCTCCATACTCTAGCTTGATATTGATTTTTTTGGGATCTCCTTATTTACAGGCACATCAACTCACATTCTAGCTAATAAAGTCTAATTGAGAAGGTAGGCTTGTCCAAAAATAGAGGATTACCAAACCATCATCCGTCCAAATCTCCGGTGCGAGATTGTAAAGCTTTACCTACAAAGGCACACTAGTAATTTCACATTTAAGAGAGTTGTAAACTCAGTTGCCATTGTTGAGAGTTGTAAAACCTGAGCTGGTTGATCCTAACATTATTTGTGATGAGCTGGACAGGCTCTTCTGTCGAGTCTATGAACATTCTTTAAGGGTGTGGTTTCAGACCTCAAGCTTTCCATTCTTGAAAATCTGCAAATTACAAACCTGTGGGTATGCTTTAAGCAATCCTCAACATCAATGGAGCTTTGAGGATCTCTCTCTCCCTCTCTCTCTCACCTCTTTGCTTGTTCTCCTTTTTTTTTTAAAAAGGGTTTTTTGGGTAAACTTTAAATGAATTAACAGGTCTGTGACACCAATTGTGAAGATCTTGTGGCTACAAATTAGAAGTAGAATGTATGTGCTTGATCCCTGGTGATGCTAGCCATATGTGCTTAAGCATGTCTGTTGGGCCTCATAGAAAGTTGACTTAATTCTCACCCTATAGCTGTGATATAAAGATACAATAATGGATGTGCATTATCTAGGTTTAGGTTGACATTGTATATGGTTTATGATATATACCAAGTCACTTTAATTTCTTTTGCTCAAGTAGACTGTTCATTTCTTTTTGGGTGAGAGTGAACTTTGAAGTACTTTATTGCAATTGTTATATGTTTTATTTTTTTCCTTTTCTACTGTACTTGCCTTTTTCTTTACCACATTCATTTAAGCTGCCTATATCGGAAGCAAAAGGCTATGCATTCGTTTCAGTTCATTGCTATGTGAGGCTTTTATTGAGAAACATTAAGCATTCAATTTTATTTGGCATACAGGTATGGGGTGTTTTGATATCTGGAAAAGATCATGTTGCAGTGCTTAGACGGAGTAAAGCATATGCTTTCTGTTGTTGTGAATTGCTGTGATTCCGATTTAAGTAAGCCGCCTAGGGGTCTTGAAAATCCAGAAGTTCTTGCGAGGGAGACAGTATGTATGTTACATATCATTGGAAACTTTATGAAATACATTAATTAAAGTAATATTCCATTTTTTGTTGATGCTATTGAGTTAGACTACTGCTTTTTATTTGCAAGTTAAAATTGTTTCTTGCCCATTTAAAGTAATTAGTAGTATTATGTATCCTCTTATATTGAAATTTTATATTTTATATATGTATGTAATATGTATCATCAACTTTAGTAAGGGTTGGTTTGGAGTGTCCTAAAAAAGTGTACTTTTTGTCTTTTTACGAAAAGATGTGCAGAAAAGTAGAGAGGTGATGCGATGGAAAAAAGATAAAAAGATAAAAGGATGGATTATATAGTAGATGCCAAACCAACTCTAAGTTGCGAAGTAGTAGTATTATGTGTCATCATGTTTGGAAACACCTACTATAGTAATACAATATGTATATGCGAGAGAATATGATTTGTAACTTCACAATCTGACCATAATTACTACCAAAAAAAAAAAAAACTGTAAGATCAAGCACATATTAGTAAATATAAACATAAGAGAAAGTGAAGAGGAACTGATGAGGTGCATTAATGGCAGTTTTCTTGTGTTTGTTGTGTTCAAAACCATGTGGTCTTTAATACATGGAGGTCATTTATGGACATTCGGAATTTTTCTATGATTTGCCAAGACATGACATCTTTCCCCAGTTACAATGTGGAAAACAAAACAGGGCATGTGGCACTTTACCGGTGATAGTCTCCCAAGACGGCCTTTGGCAAAAGAGCCTGGGGCAATCTGCCCAATGTCCCATCCAAAAGTGTCTTCTAGGATGATGTACTCATGAGCTTCGAAGGGACTTGCCATGTGTGATTACACTTCAACACACCCTGATGCTTGATTCTTACCTAGGTTGTGATTAGGGCTCTGTGGTCAGTGCTTCTCATCACCATGGATGTGCATGCTGGTATCAAGATGCTTGGAGGGGTTGATTTGTTAGCTAAAGTAGGGAGCTAGTCAATGGGTGAAGCTCGCTTCAGCTGTTCAAGGGACTATGGCGACTTCTTGCATTTTTTGACAAGAGAGGGATGATGTCATCACCATGAGACGTTGCTCTGAGGGTGTCCCCAAACCTATGGTTAATTGAGCTTTGATAGCACTGCAGACCCAGTGATGCTAGCTGCTTTAACTGTGGCTGTGTGACTGGCTCTGGGCCTTGCACCACCGTCCTTGTATAATTGTATAAGATAGACAGCCCATTTCATTTGATTAATTTTCTTGAACCTTGGTACTCATATTAGTTAGGATTTTAAGTCCCTTGGATGGATGTTCACACTGCCATTTGTTTCTTAGCTTCTTTTACTAATAAATTGAATATTTGTGAAACCCTACAGAAAACGTAAGGTATGCATACCTTGACTGATTGTTTAATTCACTGGCAGGTGGATTTTTTGAAATCCTGCCTTGTGCTTGACTATCAAACTTCCATGCTTTTCCTGCATGAAAGAGACATTTTGTGAATGCTATTTAAGTGTTTGTTTTCTTTTCTTGAACTGCAGTTAGTGTGAGTGAAATTGAAGCATTGTATGAATTATTTAAGAAGATTAGCAGTGCTGTGATTGATGATGGGCTCATCAACAAGGTAACATTTTAGGAGATTATTCTATTTATTTTGGATTAACACAATATTCCATCTTTTGGGCTGGTAATATTTCTGTTCTCCTTTCTTCAGTAAGGGTATGAGGATTTCCTTATCACTACAAGTTTTTTTTGCCCCATGGTTTTTGCAGTTTTGCTTCAAACCTATCTTACTCGGAGCTTTTATTGTTGGTTGCTAATTATGATGTTGCAGGAAGAATTTCAATTGGCACTATTTAAGACAAACAAAAAGGAAAGCTTGTTTGCAGATCGGGTACTCCTTCATATATCAAATTTTGTTGATGTTTGCATCTTATTCCCTTATAATTGCAAGGCCTTTTTGCTTAATGTAACTGTATAACATTCAAACACTATAGAGTTCAATAATCTAGATTTTGACAGTATGAGTCTAAACAATTTGGATAATTGACTGTATTCTAGCATCTATTAACTGTTCATGGCTTTAGAGTAAAAGACCATGTTTGGTTTGTGTTTCAGGAAAAAAATTTCAGAAATTTTTTTGAAAAAATGGAAACTAGTTTGATAAAAATAAATATCAAAAATTCAATTTTTTATTTTTAAAATTATTTTTGACCTCCCAAAAGATAAAATTATACAAAAAATGATAAGTTATTTATTTATTTTTTTATTTCTTTCACTAAATGATAAGTGTTTTAGTTTTTTAGAAAAAATTTATGAAACAAGTTTCTGAAACACAAACCAAACATGGCCTAAATTTTCAACCAATAAAAAAAATTCTGACTTTAAACCAAAATATTTGCCTTGTAACTTAATTTGTTTTTCTCTTTTCTGTTCTATTTTTTTTTATGCGTGTTTCTTTACCCATAAAATTCTTTGATGTGTTTTAAGAGAGCTTTCATTATATTAATTCCTTATTTACTTTTCAAATTTTTTAGGTCTTCGACTTGTTTGATACAAAGCACAATGGCATATTAGATTTTGACGAGTTTGCACGAGCTCTGTCTGTATTTCACCCCAATGCACCGATTGATGATAAGATTGACTGTAAGCCATTGTTATTGTCTTTTGTTCTTCTTTTGTATATTTTCCGATGTCTTCTATGCTTCTTTCAAGTATGGAGATAGGAGAGGCTAATATAATTTACCAGTTTTTTGGTGTGTGGTGCTGTAATGCCATAATCTTCCTGAAATTGGGTATGATGACTCTGTAGTGGCAAAATGTTGACAAAAACATTTCTGTTATGCTCTACTGATATTAGAGCAAGTGAATTTAAGTGTTTGCATGCTTTAATTTTGCTGTAGTTCTGTTCTCTGTTTCTTGAGTGATTGCATGTTGGTGCTGATATTGATTTACGTTGGCAAAGCTAAATTTTTCTCCCTTGCAGTTTCATTTCAACTTTATGATCTCAAGCAGCAAGGATTCATAGAGAGACAGGAGGTAATCTTTCTTTTATTTCTGTTTCTTTTCTCTTCTTGATGAAATGAATTAATTGATTTCTAATTTGGTTGTTAGATGAAGCAAGAAAGAAACTTTACGAGCCCAAGAAGAAAACTTTGAAATATTTTCTCCTCAATTTTCTTTCTTTTTCTCTTCACAATGAGAGCCAAACAAGAGAAAGTGAAAGAATGGGAGGAAAAGAAAAGAAATCATTTGTTCTAAAACACAGATAGTTTGCTGCCCTTGACTTTGAAGTAGCTCCTACTGAGTGTTGCAAACTTTGGAATGCAGAACGTCTATTTCATGGCACCTTAACTAGTTGAATGAAAACATAAACAAAATAAAAACAAAAACTTAACTAGTACAAATTTGGCAGTATTCTTATGAGCCAAGTTGTGATGATGTGTAGTTTTACTAACTTTATCATGTACAGGTAAAGCAAATGGTAGTGGCTACACTTGCTGAATCTGGTATGAATCTTTCAGATGACGTAATAGAAAGTATCATTGACAAGGTACTACGACCTTCGTCTGATTGACACTTTCACATGTCAAGGTCTTTGTATATTTATGCTAGATGCTCACAATCAAGCTTTTCATTACCCAGCTCTTATAATTTTATGCCTAATTTTTGTTTCTTGTTTTGTATGTTTACCTTTTGGGAGTTCTTTATTTGGTTATCCATATCACTGATGCCTGTCTTGCTTGAAAATTAGAAAACATGTTAGTTGGTTGAAAGTGGAGACTTTTTTCTTTTTTTTTTGGTTGTTCTCATTTAATTTTAACTTGCATCATCTGTCTGTCATTATTCAATTATCTGTCTTGCTCATGAATATTTCCTTCACTATTGTGTTGTTTCTGTGCTACAATTTCTCCATGCTTTCCATTTGGGGTCTGGATTGTTTTTAGGTTGATATTATATGTGGATTGGCTTTAATACAAGAAAAATGCTAATTACTGTACAAAGGGTTCTCATTAGCCTCCGTGGATGTGTGAAAAGTACATTGAAATATATGAAAATTGTATAGAAATATGTGAAAGTGCTTGGGATGTGTGAAAAATACCTTGAAATTCTAACTCGGTACTTTGGTAATGGTTTTAAAAAAATCTGTGGGGAATATTGTGCTCCTGTCCACTCACTGGTATTTCTGCAAACCACAGTGCTTCCACAGATTATATTTTATTTGATAAAAACCATAATCAGAGCTTTCCATGATAACAAAAAACTTTAACCAGATGATTGTTATCTGGTTGTAGAGTAGTTTTGCATGTGTAGAGGCAAAACTCAGCATTCCTCAAGATGGGATGCATGTTGATGAATTTTCACTTATTATGATGAGAACTGCATCATGAAGGTTGAGGCTGGTCAAATCAAAATGGTTTAGGTACAACAGACTGACGGTTAAGAGTGAACAAAAAATGGATTATTAGGCCAGCTATAAAGCGCATTAGGTGTATAGTTGCATAGTTGATTGTTAACAAGTCGAAGTTCAGTAATTGTTGTCACCTCTTCTGGGGCCTTCCTTCTTTTGAATCTCCATGCAATGAATTACGTAGAGGCCTTTCAATGAGCAGGTAAAAGGAGATTGATGGTCTAATCATATAATTATTTAAAATATGATAAATCTGTTCTCTAACTGAGAGTGACCATGCATTAGATGTATTCCTGTCTGATAATAGTTTGATAAAATTCAGAATATTTCACATTTTATGTCAAAATTTATTAAGTAGTTAGATGCTTGCCTGTTGGGTGTGCATTTGATATATAACCCAAATTCTAAGGATTTTCATTTTAAACTTGAGCATCTCTCTTTCGATGACACACACACTGTCACCAATTCTTATGGAATCTTGGTGATGGGTAGGGCTGTTCACGGGTCGGATTGGATCGGATTTGTCGTTGATCCGTCACTCGAACCGACTACAGTGGGTTGGACATTTTTTCAACCGATTTCGACCGAATTGTAGTTCAAAACCGTTCTATTCGAACTGATTTATTCGGTCGAGTTTCGGTCAGGAACAATTGGTAACCTTTTCGCTTTCTTCAAACCCTAATCTATATATTATATATACATATATCTATACACGTACAGATATGAGAGAGTGGTGAGAGGGAAAAAAATGAAAAAGAGCCATTTTGTAGCAATAGCACAAACATTACATTAATTTTCGAACCCTAATATGTATATATAATCTCAAAATCAAATATACAAACAACTCACACAGTGATTCAACCACAACTCTCTCACATCTGATCTGAGAGATTAAGCTAGGGCTTCTGAAATTGAGAGACAGAGAGAGTTGAAGCTTGGGTTCTGAACTTCGCCAATCATCATCACCACCACTTTGATGAGATTAGGAATTTTGGATTTGATGAATATATCAGAGATAGAGGGATGTTCAGGTTGAGATGAACTGAGGGGGTTCAAAGATAGAGAGAGAGAGAGGAGGGGGAGGGGGGGGGGGGGGGAGGTGGAGACGAGAGGTTGAGAGACGTGAGAATGAGAACATAGAAGGGTGAGTGAGAAATTTTTTTTTTCTTTGTTTGAAGGAGAGAGAGAGAGAGAGAGAGAGAGAGAGTTAATGACTGGAAATTGATTTGGAGAATAGAGAGGGACAGTCGAGAATGATGAGAAGACGAAAGGATGAGAGAAAGAGAGATTTTTTTATTATTTTTCTTTCACTAGAGAGAGAGAAAGTGAGAGAGATAATGATGGAAATTGAAAGTCTGAGGGATTTGAAATGGGAAGCCGAAAGGATGATAGATTTTTTTATTATTTTCTCTCACTGGAGGGAGAGCTAATGATGACAAATTAAAAGAAAGGCAGATATGAAAATGGGAAACAGAGGAGGTTGTCTTGGAAAGATAAAATAATCAAATCTATGCAATATATAATTAATATAGTCGGTCAAGATGACCTAGGAAATAGATGAGGCTGCCTTGGGAAGTAAAACAGTCCTGTACAAGTTTATATTATATATTTAATTCGGTTGATTCGGTTCAAACTGGTTTCTAAATATTAAATCTGAAATCCACCTGAAATCCAAAAATATTTGCATAAAACAAACCTTGACCGACCGTTGGAACTGTCGAAACCGGCAACACTCTGTTCGGATTGGGCGGGTCAGGTCAGGTGTGCCGGGTAATTCGATTCTTTGTACACCCCTATTGATGGGGTGTGGCTTTGAGCATTGACATGCAGCCACCATGTTTATTTTCACTCTCTCCCAAGACTGGCGTCAAGTATCGACCACCTTGATCGACGTCTCACACTTTACTCCCTAAACCTGCTTACCTTAGCAAACTTTATCTCTTCTCTCTTTGCGACTTTCTTCCTTCATAATCTGTTACTGAGAAATTCAATTTGAATGTATGATGAAAGTTCAAACAACTTTTGGATGATACATATATTTGCAGTGACTTGATCTGTATGAAAGTTCATCCTGCATATTAGAATGGTGGTTGTGGATACAATTTGATATCTCCGTTATTTGGGAATATATTTAAATTTCAAGCATTTAAACACTGCATGCAATAATTGTGGTAGATTTGTAACGAATTTATTATATTTCAGACATTTGAGGAAGCTGATACTAAGCATGATGGGAGGATTGACAAAGAAGAGTGGCGCAGCCTTGTATTGCGACACCCTTCTCTTTTGAAGAATATGACCCTTCAATACCTCAAGTAAGTTCTATTTCAGTGTCACTTGGTGTTGCTTGTCAGTATGGGCCACTATAGTTCTGTTGACTATCTGCTAAAACATATAGCGCCAAAAGACACTGCTTTAATGTTTAACCCTTTATTTTATTTTTTCAAGTTTTCTGTTGATTATGGAGGAGCATTGTATAGTGTAGCCTGGCAGCTAAATTTGTTTCATTTTCTATGGACAGAGACATCACCACCACATTTCCGAGCTTTGTATTTCACTCTCAAGTGGATGATACCTGAGTTTTGGACCTGCATTAGTTTCTGGTGGTATGGTTTGTTCCTTGTGTAGACAATGGTGCCAACTGTGTGTGTAAAGGTTTGCCAAGAAGCTCTTGCATCCAATTAGATGCTGAGTAATGGATGTGGACCTCGTCTTTACCGTTTCGATGAATAGAACTTTTTCAAACATGTGAGGTTTCTAGTTTGAATGACCTCTCTGTTTTTGTTCTTTGCTTTGGTAGTTCATTGGGACATGGGAAAAGAGGCAAACGAAGAGGCAAAGGTTATGTTACTAGCGATTGCCATGTTTTGTTTTTGTTTTCATGTGAATGCTAAGGAAGTTGGTTAGTCCAACATTCTTTTTGCAGAGGCAGCTCTGCTACCAAAGTGTATAGAAGCCTTTTTTGGCAGAGTGAATAATTGATTGTGTTTAAGTTTTTAAAATTTTTCATAGTGAGAGGGCTCGCTACATGTACCAGTGTTTTAGGGGTTCATCGGCAAGTGCATTTCAAACCAACTGATTTGCAATTTTGCTAAGATCTTGGAGGCATTGAAAGCAGTTTTTCAAACACCATATGGGCTAAAACATGTTTGTTTGACCATATGCTAGTTACTTGTGGAATTTATTTACTTTTATAATTTAGTGTTTCTATTGTAGTTTTTTGATGATTGAATAACTGTTGGGATGCTTTAGATGATTGAATAACAAATACTGTGCGCGCAAATTGAAAGTGGGATGTTCCTGGACGACCCTACAAAGTACAAACACTGCAAAGTATTTGCATGACAGTCAGAAAATAGCAACTAAATGAAAGATCATATTGGATGCGCACATGTTTTCAAAACATGTAAAAACCGAGCACTGGTAAATATGTTTGATGAGTTTTTAGGGAGGTGACCGGGCGGGGTAGGGGCTGGAGCGACAGTTTAAAAAAAGGGGTGCTTCTTTCAATGGAACTATCACTAACGATCAATCAATTTAGTAATAGGAAAATGAGTTGGACCCGGTGGGGTCGACTTCAGCACCCTTGGATCAAATTTTTTATTTTTTTATTTTTTCTGTCCGCAAGTTGCAACCCTCCACATAGAGGTAGGGGCCCACTGTTTTGTGATTGGATCAAATTTTTTATTTTTATTTTTTATTTTTTCTGTCTGCAAGTTGCAACCCTCCACATAGAGGTAGGGGTGCTGGGTCACCCCACTAGGGGTCCCAGCAGGACTGATTATAAATTATTTAGTTTAACTTTTGTTTTGTTGCTTTTATGACAAAATATTTGTTAAATGAGAGTTTTATTTGCTTAGATGTGAAACTTATTTTTATTTGTTAGATGATGAATTTATATTTATTTGTTACATGTTGAATATTTTTAGGGTAAATTATACTAACACCTCTTGAGGTTTATGTTTATTACAGTTTCTCCTCTCACCTTTTGAAAATTATATCTCCACCACTGAGGTTTAAAGTTTCATTACAGATTTTCCTCTTCAGTAATTTAATTTTTTTAAATATCAATTTTGTCCTCATTAGGTAAATTACATTGACATTCTTCAAATTTTAGAAATTACAATCCACTCCCTAACGTTTAAAGTAATATTACCAATTGCCTCCTCGGTTAGTATTAGTTGGAAAAAAAAATTCATTGAAAAAAAATTAATTGGAAAAAAAATTATTTGAAAAAAAAATTAATTGAAAAAAAATTTTGTTAGTAAAGTTTTTAAATTTCTGTTTAAAAATCAATGTAACCTCATTTTTTAAATTTATGTTTTTTTCTCAAATTTACAAACTAAGACAACCTTTTATAAACCAAAAAAATTATCAACAAGTTTTTATGACAGTTTTTTAAATTTTTGTAAATATAAATTAATAACTGAAAACGAAATGATTACCAAACAAGTTTGATGGTAAAAATGTCGTGAAATTAACAAATAATTAAATAAGTTACCAACTTAAGAAATGACTTATCAAAATATATTTAGGCTATGTATGGTTTGATTTTTAGAATTTTTTTTTTAAAAATTAAAAATTAATTTGGTTAAGAAATAAAAAATAAAAAATAATTATCAAACCATACCACCAAACACATAATATTTTTTACTTTTTTATTTTTTATTTCTTAACCAAATTAAATTTTAATTTTTTTTAAAAAAAATTCTAAAAATCAAACCATACATAACCTAAGAATCTTTTGAGAAGTCATTTCTTACGTTGGTAACTTATTTAATTATTTGTTAATTTTACGACATTTTTACTATCAAGCCTGTTTGGTAACTATTTTGTTTTCAGTTTTTAATTTATATTTATAAAATTTTTAAAAACTGTAATAAAAACTTGTTTGATAATTTTTTTGATTTATAAATGGTTGTCTCAGTTTGTAAATTTGAGAAAAAAACGTAAATTCAAAAAATGAGGTTACGTTGATTTTTAAACAGAAATTTAAAAACTTTACTAACAAATTTTTTTTTTCAATTAATTTTTTTTTCAAATAATTTTTTTTTCAATGAATTTTTTTTTTCAACTAATACTAACCGATGGGACAATTGATGATACTACTTTAAACCTTAGGGGGATTGTAATTTCTAAAATGTGAGGGGTGTCAATGTAATTTGCACAATGAGGGCAAAATTGGTATTTATAAAAATTAAATTGCTGAAAGAGGGGAATCTGTAATGAAACTTTAAACCTCATAGGAGGAGATGTAATTTTCAAAAGGTGAGAGGGGGAATTGTAATAAACATAAACCTTATGGGGTGTCAATATAATTTACCCATATTTTTAAAACAATGTTATGTGATTTTTATAGTGTGAAACCGTAATTCAAAACCAAACTGATCCGTGTTTAAGTGGTTTGACTTGAATGAATTTTATGGTTTAAATTGTTTGGATTAATTTTGATTTTTATTAAATTGTAATCCACGGATTAATTCTGATTTATTCTAAACTGATTTAATCCGGATGATACTCACCTGGCGGGTGTCAAAGAAATTAGAGGAGATTTACGTGTAACCCCTAATAGATGAATTTATTGTCCAATAAATCTTATGATGATAAATAGTAATTTTTTTTATGAAACATTATTAAAAAAAACGTTACTAATTATTAGTTTTTAGCGATAGTTTAAAAATTTTATCAAAAAAATGTAATTAGTTATAAATTTTAGCGATAATTTAAAAAAATTGTCACAAAAAAGGTAATTAATTTTTAACTTTTAGCAATATTTTGACAAATTTGTTACAGAAAAATTAGTAAGTTTTTGTGACAATTTATAAAGACAGTGACAAAAAAAAAAAAGTTGCTAATGATCAAGTTTTAGTGATATATATAAAAAATTATCACAAAAAATTATTTTTAATGATAATTTCATTTGACTTATTTTTAATAAGACTTAATAGAAATTAAATCTAATATTAATAATTTAGCCAAGAAGAAAAGGGGATTAAAGAAAGGGAAATTTATTAGAAGATTTTTTTTTAAAAAGTTTTTGTATCCCAATTAGTCTATAAGATATTCTTGTATTTTAATAAGTCCGATTATTTGAACATTTGATTTATCAAATCTTAATTCTCATATTTAAAGTATTTTATGGATATTTTTACTTTTATAAATATTTTTTGAACGGTTAGCAATTTGGTGATATGAATATTCACATATTCATATTTTAAAATGTGAATATTCATATTAACAGTGTGAATGTTCACATTGATATGTTAACATTCACATTGATGGTGTGAACCTTCATATCATGTAATATTTACACTATAAATGTAAATATTATTAAGAATATTTTGATAATTATGTCACTTATAAAATTTATTAGAATATAAAAAAATAATATAAACTAAATAAAACATATGTAAATAAAAAGAAATTTATAAAAAAATGCCCCAATAATAGGGAGGGTTAAATCTAATATTAGGCTAAGTTTGGCTACAAAGAAAAAAGTACACTTATTTAATCTTTTTATCTTTTTTGGGTCACATCAATCAACATCTCCTCTACTTTTTCTACACATAATACAAAAAAAGTCAAAAAGTACACTTATTTAGTCTTCCCAAACTAGGCCTTAATTTAGCCAAGAAGAGAAGAGGATTAACACGGGGTGGTTGTGTTCCTTCCTTGTGTGAAAGTAGTAGCAACTAGGGGTGTGCATAATACCGCCAAAACCGCCGAAACCGCCAAAGCCGCACCGAACCGCACCGCCAAGGCAAATTCATTATTATTTGTCAATCGAACCGCCGGTTTTTGGTAAGAAAAATGGCAAATTCTAGTGATTATTAGAATATAAAAAAATAATATAAACTAAATAACACATATGTAAATAAAAAGAAATTTATAAAAAAATGCCCCTAGGGAGGGTTAAATCTAATATTAGGCTAAGTTTGGCTACAAAGAAAAAAGTACACTTATTTCATCTTTTTATCTTTTTTGGGTCACATCAATCAACATCTCCTCTACTTTTTCTACACATAATACAAAAAAAGTCAAAAAGTACGCTTATTTAGTCTTCCCAAACTAGGCCTTAATTTAGCCAAGAAGAGAAGAGGATTAACACGGGGTGGTTGTGTTCCTTCCTTGTGTGAGAGTAGTAGCAACTTAGGTCTTGTTTGGAAACATTTTAATTTAGTAATTTTTTGATTATTTAGTTAAAATATAAGTTAAAAAAATTAATATGTTTAAAATAATTTTTTAATTTTTTATAAAAGATGTATAAAAAATAATTTTATTTTTTAATTTTTTAATATAAATTATTAACTTTTTAATTAATTTAGTAATTTTTTTACTTTTAGACTAAAAGAGATGTTATCAGACGAGGCCTTAGTGAGTATCTATAAAACTAAACTACCCCAAATTTCACCAATTTCTCCACCATCGTAGCCGCAACTTGTCGTCGGTTACCCCACCCAACCCAACCTGCGTTTCAGGTACAGGTCTTTCTTTTCGTCCCTCTTAATTATCCTTCTCATTCATTCGGGTCTCGACTTTTCAGTAGTGAAAAAGAGTATTTCTGGTTTGGACTGTTTTCTGCAAGGAAGCCTTTTTTTTTTTCCCTATTCGTTTTCCTTCAAATTCGTTAGCCTTGTAATTGTTCTTTGGTAGCGTATATTCATGATTGATCTTATCTCCGGCCTTTGGAACTGGGTTTTATTTTCTGATCATTAATATGCATGTGTTCTTTTGGGTTTTGCAGCAGCTGTAGCAGCAGCAAATGTCTGAGAAAGGAGGAAAAGGGTTTTCTCTGCCCAAAGGTGAACCTATATTTTCTCTCTTTTCTACTTGTTTTTATATACATATATATATATATATATATTCCCAATTTCATGTCTTAGGTTTTGACCAAGCATGCACTACCTTCAACTCATGTTAAGTTATGCAGGGTATACCCCAATTTCTGCAATATCTTAATTTCATGATAACTGGAATATTTAATTTAACTGAGCAAATAGCCCTTGATAGACCTAAATGGTGAAAAAAGGATTTATCTAACCGACCCTACTTGAATGAAAAACAAGGATTAGCTTGATTTGGTTTCCACTTAAGGATATGTGTGTGTGTGTGTGTGTGAATATGCTTATGCGCACAGGAAAATGGCTTTGTTTTGTTGTATGGTGAAACATGCCTATAAAGGGCATTGATCTATTCTTAATTTGGTCATGTATGAAACATGCCCTGGCTACATTTAAGATATTTTAGGAGGCTCTTCTTCTCGGTGATCTCTCCATGTGTTGTATTGTTGCCTGTTGTTTTATTTACTTTTTTTAAGATGCCCTTTATTAAAGCACAATTTATTTGATTTAATTTAATTAATTAATTAATTTTTTTGTGGAACATCTTTTTTTTTCCAAATTTTCTCGCCTAGCCTCCTTGAAAGGGAAGGATGATAGCTCAGCAAAGTCAAAGAGGCCCCGAAAAGTTCAGTTTGATTATAAAGGTTTAGACCTGTTTTTCTTTCAAATATCTTTTATCATTACAATTTGGCTAGTCCAAAGGATTTTTTATTTTGGTTAATCTTATTACTAAGTTACTCCTCACCCTTTTGGAAATGTTACTCTTAATGTTTAGAATCACTAGAATCCACAATCAACTTATCCTCGAAATCTGGTGCAAAGGTTGGTTTGCCTATTGGAAAAGGTAAAAGTTTTTTTTTTTTTTATTCTTCTGGCCTCTTTGATATTTATGTAGGTGGTTTCATTTTTTGATACATCGTTTCATGTTTTGTTGGTAAGATTGGGGCAAAGGAGGAAAAGGAGACAATGTTGCAAATGGTGGTAAGAGTCCAGTGTCCAAAGAATCTTCCACTCTGGAGCTCAAAGTTGAGCAAGGTTGGTTATTTTATTGGTTACATAAGTATATATTTTTTGTCGAAAGACATGATGTTAATTCACTATTAATGTTTCTGTTTTATAGTTCATGTGACTACTTGTTATATGTGGGTCTTTAATTCGATGCCATATTTGTTCTCTATGTTCAAGTGACAAACAAGCATAGTTATCAAACTGGAAGTCACACTAGCATCACATGCTGGATGTTGTTGGCAATCATTTTTCAAGGGTAAAAGTAGTAGGATTTTGAAAAGGTAAATAAAATATCCACCTCAAAGGTCATAGGTCAAACTAAAGCCTCTTTAAACTCCACAATAGTTTGCTTCAAGAAATTAATTTTCTTATAGAAGCATACAGAGGAAAAGGTCTTCAATTTGGCTTTTCCAAGGAGAGGAAGATCAAATTATCTGTCACCGGAGAAGTTTCAAAGATCCTAAGATCCTAATAGTACATAAAATGGGGGGCAAAAAAAAAAAAAAAAGAAGAGAGGTAAAGAAAGTATTTATTATTAGAAAAATGATTGAGAGCTCTAATAAAGGAGCTCTAGTGAGAGTGGACCCTACTGTGATGTGATATTTTGGCTTTAGTTTTATTTATTTTATTTTTTTTATTCTCTGCCACATCATTAGAGTTCAATTAGAGCTCCAAAATTAGAGGGACATATCTTTGCTCTTATTATTATTATTATTTTTTTGTAACTAATAGAACTTTTAACACCTTTTAAGCAATATTGTTTCTATTGTATTTCAATGTTGTGTTGAAGATATGATGTACATCAATGCCTTTGTTTATTATGGTAGAAGAGATCAAGATGAAGACCATGCAAACATTAGTGAATATTTTTCTCGTGTATGTTGTGAAGATCTGTCTCATAGAAAATTGGCTTCTGGGTTATGTATTGTTGGTGGTGGTTGAGATGTAGCTGAGCTTGAGCAGATCATCCCCTTCCCCCAGTATTCGCTTTATGTCATTTTTGACATATAATGTATTGTGCATGTATTGTGCTTCGTATATGTTAAGTTCATGAAGTAGAAATTGTTTTTCATAAGCTCTGTTGGTATTGAGCAGAACTTCCAAAGAATGCCAAATGCCTGATGGACTGTGAGGCGGCAGACATTTTAGAAGGAATCCAGGAGCATATGATCATACTATCTGAAGATCCAACAATTAAAATTCCTATGTGAGGAACATAGTTAGCTTTGTCTTCTTTATTACAAGGTTATTTATATTATAGATAAGCCCTAACAAATTTGTTTCCAGAGCATTTGATAGGGGACTGCAGTACGCCAAGACTGTTAGTCATTATACAAGTCCTCAATCTGTTCGACAAGTGCTTGAGTATCCTTTTTTTTTTTTTTTGAAAAAGACGTTCTTGTTGTGTTGAAAATACCCGTCACCAGTCATTTATGGAAATTTTGTTTTTGAGCAATCTGCTGTTGAACCATTAACTCAAATATCAGGCCTCTCAAAAAACATGGTGTTTCTGACAGTGAGGTATCTATCTCAACCTGAGTCACTGGCCTTATCTGTTGATAATCAGGCAAGTTTTTGATTTCTTATTTGACTGCAGATGTGCTTGATTGCTAACATATGTCCAGAGTCTGTGGATGAAGTTTTTGCTCTAATTCCATCGTTGAAGGTATGACATGTCTGTTTTTTCTGTTGTTGCTCTCATAAATTGTTTTGCTTTTTGTTTATGTGCTTGTGATTGCAATTTCTGATGTACAAGTAAAAAGGTATGAATGATTTTCACTGTTGACAATAGTTAAAGATGCAATTAATAGCTTCTAGATAGAAATACCTCTAATTCAATTGAGATGAAATGCCAATATTTCATTGTAAGGGCTAACTACTCATTCATACAGTAACTATGTAAGGGAGATTGAGAAAATACTTGTCAAGAGATGAGATTGATGATACCAAGTAATTTTCTTAATGTTTCTGTTTGTCCTCTTGCTGTCACTAAGGAGCTACCATCATATGTCTCAAACCTCTAGTTTTAAGATAGTGCTACTCCAGTTTAGCCTGTGCTCTGTAGATTAGCCTCTGGTCATCAAATGTTCGGGTCAACTTTAGAGGAGAGATGTTGGGATAAAGCATTGTGGGGATTATAGTTAGGATACAAAAATATTGAAGGATTTCCTTTTTATTTTTGCTTTTCGGTAGACATTTGAATTTTTTTTTTTTATTCTTTAATGTTTATAATTCTTCGATGTTTGGAAGCTGCTTGTTTATGAATGGATTTTCTTCCAGGGTAAGAAAAACAAGCTGACAGAACCCCTCAAAGGTGCATTGAGTGAACTAGCTATTCTTAAACACTCGACATGAAGTTCCAACAGCAGAGATCCATAGTAAGTTATTTCACTGCCCGAGCTGGCATAAGCTTTGTCTTGCATCCTCTCTGTTACATGCCTGGTTTTGCATGCTTGTGTGTAAGCTGTGAATAATGTGATGGTGGTTGTTATTTGTGTTACATGGACTCTTCTATTTCTCCGAAGCACCCTTGTCTACCAGATATGACTAGGGGTAAGGACGTGAGAGATGTGTCCGACACTAGTACACAATTTAGACACTTTAATATTTTTACAATATTTGAAGAAGAAGAAACTGAAATCTGCTAGTAGAAAAAACATTTTTAGCCTTGCATGTAGGCAAGAGATGGAAATTCTTTATTTTTCCTAATACTATTTAATTTCAATTACATTTTTACATAATTTATGTCATCTTATCTAAAAATTTTATACAATATGTAAAATATGGAAGTGTTTGTGATGTGTCCCCGTGTCCATATCCAACTGTTGGATACATATTCCAATATAAAGGTTAGACACTTGGACATACATACACCCACACTTGATACTTGTATCTGAGTGCAGGTAACATATGTTGTTATTGCTTACATGTGTGCTTTCTGATAAAATGTAAAACACCCACACTTGATACTTGTATCTGAGTGCAGGTAACATATGTTGTTATTGCTTACATGTGTGCTTTCTGATAAAATGTAAAACGGCTTCAAATTCATTCTGTGGTATGGCTTTATTGTTGCATATTATTGTTGGTTGTTTGTTGTGGTGAAATGAGTTCACTTTTTCAAAAGAAAAGGAAAATTTGGCGAAAGCATTGCAGGTTCTGCTCATGATGCGGGCTTGGTAGATTTGAAGTTGGGACCAATCTTGTGAAGGAACTTTTGAGAAGGAAAACTTAACAGGGCAGGCGATCTTCTTCTTCTTCTTCTTCTTGTAATGCTTTTGTAATGTGATAGTTGTACTTGGTATGCCTATGACTTTTGATTAGGATGCTCTTAGAACCCTGGCCTGTGAGAATTACTCCATTAAGTACCCTTGCTTTGTGCAGGGATTTGTTAATGTACATCAAGCAATCTGGAACAGGGAAATGCATGTTACTGCAGGTTCTCTATTTAGTGTGACAAATATGCTTTGCTAAGACTTACATAGCACAAATCAATAGAGAAACAAGTGGCTTTTGGGTTAGAGCCTATCTGCAGTGAGCTCGCTCCCATCAATTTGGGTGGTAAGGGGGGCTATACTTGAATGCTGGATGAATCCCTCTTCCCCCACTCCATTTTTTTCCAGTTAAACTACTCCCATTGGTTCTGGTTCTTATACTGGAACTCTCACTTCCACTACTACACTTTTCACCACAGATGGAACTATGTGCGCACGTGTGTCAATCTGAGACCCATCCTTGATCCTTAAAGCCGCCTCTTAATCAACCCGTATTCCGGAGTTTTTTTTCTTTTCTTGGGATGGATTGGAAAGAGATTGTCAAAGCAGCAGTTGTGTGCATTGCTCTATAAGAGCATGAGAATGCGTACAAGTGACTTTGTACAAATGCTAATATTAGTGCAAATCTTCTAAGTCTCTCATTATCCTTGATTAGTAAAGATTAGCACTACATAATGGCTAGGGTTGCAAACGAGTTGATTCGAATTTTAGTGTGTTTGGACTTGTTTATTACGATTTTAATGAGTTCGAGTTCAATAAAAATTTAACGAACCGAGCTTGAACCGAGTTGGTTTAAGATTGACTCGAGCTTGAGCCTATTCACAATTCTAAATGAGTTAAAAAATTTATAAATTTATATTTACATGTGAGATTAAAGTTACAATTAGAACTCTGATTATATAATTATATATATAATATATATAAACATACTAAAAAAAATTAATATTTTATCAAAATAATAATATCTACCACTACTATTATATAAATGTATTATATATAGTTAATTATTATTTATAATTATATTTTTAAATATATAAATAATATATTTATTCTATTTTTATACATATTTTACTTTACTTACTATATAAATAGTAAATGTTAAATACGTCAGCTAACAAGTGGAGTTTTACTATGCTTAGACTTGTTTATTAAAAATTTAACGAGTTTGAGCTCAATTTTGTATGCAAAAAAATAAATAAATTAATAAGTTGCGTTCGAACAAACTTTTATCGAGTCGAGCTCAAGTCTACTTACGAATAATTTTGTTCATTTGCAGTCCTAATAATAGCATCCTTAATGTTATAAAGCATGGTTTTAAGTTCAGTTCATTTTTTTTTTTTTTTAGGTACATCAGAATAGAGTTGAGTTCATTTCTAACCAAGAAAACTTCTACATAATAATTTTTGTTCTCTTTTTCTGGTCCAATTTATGTATAATTAGTTGGTATTGCCAGATACTATACCTTGCTTAGACAAAATCCAAATTGCTTAAAATTAACCAGTTACCAAAAGATACTACTATTCTTCCAGCTAGGGGTGTGCACAGTCCGGTTCGGACGGTTTGGGAGTAATTTTACAAATCGAATGGCGGATTAGCGGATTGACAAATTGCGATTTAGACGGTTTTTGGCGGATTGGTGGATTGAAGAATATTCTAACTAATTATCATACATTTGCATAATATATAACACTAATTTGTATAATATTTTTAGATATATAATACAAAGTAATTTTACATAATATGTTTCATATATATAATCACTAATTTGTAATAAATTTCATATTTTAAATCTCTCTCACACTCATTTTTATATTGATATTTCATTGGAGGTTAAAAAATATATATGTATTAACTATAGTAGTACAAATGCTAATATTAGTGCAAATCTTCTAAGTCTCTCATTATCCTTGATTAGTAAAGATTAGCACTACATAATGGCTAGGGTTGCAAACGAGTTGATTCGAATTTTAGTGTGTTTGGACTTGTTTATTACGATTTTAATGAGTTCGAGTTCAATAAAAATTTAACGAACCGAGCTTGAACCGAGTTGGTTTAAGATTGACTCGAGCTTGAGCCTATTCACAATTCTAAATGAGTTAAAAAATTTATAAATTTATATTTACATGTGAGATTAAAGTTACAATTAGAACTCTGATTATATAATTATATATATAATATATATAAACATATTAAAAAAAATTAATATTTTATCAAAATAATAATATCTACCACTACTATTATATAAATGTATTATATATAGTTAATTATTATTTATAATTATATTTTTAAATATATAAATAATATATTTATTCTATTTTTATACATATTTTACTTTACTTACTATATAAATAGTAAATGTTAAATAAGTCAGCTAACAAGTCGGGTTTTACTATTCTTAGACTTGTTTATTAAAAATTTAACGAGTTTGAGCTCAATTTTGTATGCAAAAAAATAAATAAATTAATAAGTTGCGTTCGAACAAACTTTTATCGAGTCGAGCTCAAGTCTACTTACGAATAATTTTGTTCATTTGTAGTCCTAATAATAGCATCCTTAATGTTATAAAGCATGGTTTTAAGTTCAGTTCATTTTTTTTTTTTTTTAGGTACATCAGAATAGAGTTGAGTTCATTTCTAACCAAGAAAACTTCTACATAATAATTTTTGTTCTCTTTTTCTGGTCCAATTTATGTATAATTAGTTGGTACTGCCAGATACTATACCTTGCTTAGACAAAATCCAAATTGCTTAAAATTAACCAGTTACCAAAAGATACTACTACCCTTCCAACTAGGGGTGTGCACAGTTCGGTTCGGACGGTTTGAGAGTAATTTTATAAATCGAATGGCGGATTAGCGGATTGACAAATTGCGATTTAGACGGTTTTTGGCGGATTGACGGATTGAAGAATATTCTAACTAATTATCATACATTTGCATAATATATAACACTAATTTGTATAATATTTTTAGATATATAACACAAAGTAATTTTACATAATATGTTTCATATATATAATCACTAATTTGTCATAAATTTCATATTTTAAATCTCTCTCACACTCATTTTTATATTGATATTTCATTGGAGGTTAAAAAATATATATGTATTAACTATAGTAGAGCGGAGCGATTCGGTTGACGGATTATAAATTTTAAAGTTTAAATCGCGGTTAGCGGTTAGAGCGGTGCGGATAGATGCGGATCGGTGCGATTTTAGCGGATTGAGCGGTATTTTACACAGCCCTACTTCTAACATATACTTCCACAAATCCACCGTGGGAGATATCCTAAATGAGCACTTCTTTGGTAGAAATGTCATAAACCTTGTTTGGGAAACCGTAAAAAGCAAGGTTTTTTAGCAAATTTATGTAAACATAACTTAATCGTCAACATTTTTCTGAAATTTCATTTTGTCCCTACAAAGGTTTTACAATATTATAAGGATAGGCTCTTTCTTTAGAGAGACCTATCATATCAGCTACAAGGTAGCACCTAATCTTGGCTGGTTGTTCATTAACCGCCAAAATTTCTTCAGGTTGCGCAGTTCCAAGTTTAGCCAAAGGATTTGCATATAGATTTCCTTCCTTGAAAACGTGTTGTATGGTGCATTCACATCCTCTAAAGATAGATAATATTGACATCTTCTAGCAGTCCTTTGAATATAAATTTGTCGATTGTGTCTTTTTCCATCAGTTGCACCACTTGCTGTGCATCAATTTTAATGATCACCCCATGCATCCTTTTCTGAAGTATCACCGTTAATCCCTTCTAAAGAGTCTATAACCCTGTCTCCAAACTTGTGCCACTTTCAATCTTGCCATAGTTACAACATACCCAACTGCCTTTTTCATCTCTGGCTCCTCCCATTTTCTTGTTGCCATCAACATTTAGCTTGATTTTTCCTGCAGGTGGTAAAACCCAATTAATCAATCTAAAAGCAGGCCTTGGATTGATAACAGATACATTACAAGCCAAGTCAATATCTCTTGAGTAATCAAGAATATATTTGATGCTATCTTGACAACCATGTGGCATGATCATTAAAGTGTTTCTTGTTTTTGGAATTTGAAAGAAGCCATTCTTGCCTAGACTTTCTATTTATATCCATATACCAATTTTTGCCACAAAAGGCCAACCACACTTCTTTAGCTTTGTAGCAATCTGTAAACATATGTTGCATATCCTTCACCCCACAGCATCTAGGGCAGTTTGGATCAGAGGTCAAGCCCCTTTTCAATCTAATTTGGTTTGTTAGCAGTTTTCCATATAAGACTAGCCACATAAAACTTTTAAGTTTCTAAGGCAGTCTCAGCTTCCAGATCCAACTCTAGTTTTCCTCACAGCTTTGATTACCAATGATTAAATCATAGGTAGAGGCCACTAAGAACTCTCCACACTAAGTCTCTTTCTAATTTGGATTATCAGTGACAATGTTGAGAGGAGGTTGACTCTTCAAGATAATAGTGGCGATGTTAGAAGGTAACACCAAAGAAATTTTTCTACATCCCACCCTCCTTGGTCATTCAAAAACTCAACCACATAACCAAAACCCTTTGTAGATGTATGGTTGGATTGGTGTGTGTTAGACATTACATCCTCAAAGGATTTGTCCCCACACCACCAAGGACAAATGCTATTCACACATCATATTTTCTCATATTTCTATTTTTTTTTTAATCTCTCAAGTATATTACTCTTTTGAACAAAATCATAAACCTAATCTCTTAGTAGACATCACCTATCACTGCCACCATCACTACTAGTTACTGCCAATACACCACCACTGTTGTAACCTCTTTTTTACTCTACTACACTCCCTTAACTCATCTCTATTAGGGGTGGGCACAGGTCGGTTGTGGCCACGGAACCTCCAATCCGCCATCTGTCCGCCAGATTGGCGGATTGGAGAAAATCAATCTGCATTCGTCCGTTAATCCGGCGGATGTGGATTGAGCGGATTGGCGATTTGGCGGATGGATACGAATCGGTTTGGCGGTTTAAAATTTTATAAATTTTCAACATAATTCAACTTGTGCACTTCCTCAAAAAAGAAAAAAAAAAGTATTACAATTAATGACTTAAAAAAATATTACAATCATTGCATGCCTTATCCAAAACAAGAAAGTTTGAAACTTTAGAATATCACAATGACTACATGTCTCATCCGCATACTACAATCACTGCATACCTTATCTACATAAAGTATTACAATTTGTGGTTCTTAAAATATAAAAACAATTCAAACCACCAAAACTATGAACAGAGTAGTAGTAGAGATTGTATGTCTTTGTATTGTTACATCCATATATGTTTTTGAAAACAAAAATCAATCAGCATATATCATATTTTCTATTTATTATTTTTAGAGATAGATTTAAAAATAAAAAAATATAGATAAATAATACGTTTATTTTTTTCAATTCAAAAAAGATATTCAAGTTGAAAACTTTTTTTCAACAGAATATTTAAACTCTTTTTTAATCGAAAACATAAACAGAATATTTAAATAAACTGAAAACACAAAGTCTTATAAATTACTAGGGGTGTTCGCAGTTTGGTGGTTCGGTTGCGGCCAAAGGAATCTAAAATCTGTTATCCGTCCGCCAGATTGGCGGATTGGAGAAAATCAATCCGCAACCGTCCGCTCGTCATCACGCATCCGTCCAAAATGCAGCGGGTTGGTTCGGGTCGGTCGGTTTTGACGGATCGGTATATCCACTGCTCACCCTTAATCTCTATCCCTGTCTTCCCATCTGCAGTGCCTTTGTCTACAACTACCCTGTTCTCATTACCTCTATCTCCACCTTTGTTGGTATTGCCCCAATCATGTTCTCTTCTCTTCATCCCTTATGTCTTACCTTTCCCTGCCCTCCATTATCTTTTTCTTCTAGTGTTTCAAAGTGCAGTGAAGTTAGGAGGCATTAGAAAGGAGCTACGATGGAGAAGGCAATGATGAGAGGGAAGGGACTGGGGAAAGAAGGGAAATTGTAGGGATGCTACAATGATAAGGGGAGATGGGCGATTGTGGCGGTGGTTAGGGTTAGTATTTGAAAGTTGATAGTATTTTGATATTATTTAAAATTTATAATGTAAATTACAAAAAAAAAAAAAAAAAAAAAAATCAAATTTAAGTGTAATGTAAATTGAGCAAATGATATATGGTGAGAAAATATGTGGCCTGCATATTTAAAGGCTCCAAATATTAATTTTTGGCAATTAATAAACGCGTGAGCTTATAGTTATGGGAGAATTGCACCACAATGGATGTCAAAAAAATTTTTTTTTTAAACAAAAAAATGATATACATTATAGATATTAATTATTAAAATCAAAAAATTTTCCACTCATGTGTAATTATTTTTAGAAAGGGCAGAGCTTCTCGACAATCTATTTCATTGACTAGACAGTGTTACGGGTTCCATTTCAATAATCCAAGCCGTCAACGTATAAAACTCGTCGAGAATTCACTCATCTTAAAAATCACGTTGATCAGATATCAATAGCCATTCGATCAGATCATATTTTGTCAATAATAAGTATGATATTAAAAATAAATTGTTGACAAGTAACTATCAATATCCAATTAATATGATTTTTTATAAAAATAAAATACTCAAGAAGTAAACATTAATCGATTTAGATTATCAAAATAAAACCCACAATAAGGTCTCGTTTGGGAATAGATTTTTTAATAATTTTTTGATTTTTTACAAAAAGATGTATAAAAAATTAAAGAGAGTAATGTGATTACGACTTTTTAACTTTTTAACTAAAATTAGAAATTACCAAACAAGACCTAAATCTCACTAACCTGATGTAGATTATCAAAATAAAATCCATAGTGAATTTTAGGAACCTAACAGTGGCGTCTAGCGTGAAGTGGCGAGAAGCGTTGCTATTTCTGAAAACTCGTCCGGGTAGCAATTCCCGTACAGTTATTTCAGCTAAGGTAAACCGGTGGGCCCCTATAAAATAATATTTTATTTAACGAAAAGAAACTAACACAGTTAGAGGCGAACAGAGTCGACCTTTACCAAAATGTATGGGAGAAGCCAATAATACATTTTGGTGTCGGTGAAGAAGCAGCAGCAGCAATACGAACGCCACCATCACAACAATAAAAAATGGGACTAGCACCAGAAGGAGAATATTACTATGACAAAGTAATAAAACCAGAAGAAGAAGAAGAAGAAGACGAAGAAGACGATGATGAATCAGATTCATCAGAAGAATCAGATTCGGAGGAGTTGATGATGCATGGGAAGGGAAATGGAAAGAGAGAGATAAGGATGATAGAGCACTACTCTTCCTCTCATCGAATATTGTTGGTCGGTGAAGGAGATTTCTCCTTCTCTCTCTCTCTTGCCAAAGCCTTTTCCTCTGCCCGCAACATCGTCTCCACTTCTCTCGACGCCCACAGTTCGTATTTTATTTTTTATTTACTCTCTCTTTTTCTGTCTGTGACTGTCTCTTCATTTTCAGATACTAATAACTAACTACACCCACTTGTTTTGTATTGTTTTGTTTTGATGATGATAATGATGATGGGGTTGCAGAGGATCTAGAGAAAAAGTATAATAAAGGGACATGGAACGTAAGGGAGTTGGAGGAGATGGGTGGACTGGTGTTGTGCGGAGTGGATGCTACTAAGATGAGCCAACACTTCTTCCTCTCTACTCAGAGGTTTGATCGCATCATCTACAACTTCCCCCATGTTGGTTTCATCTTCCCCGAGGCTAATTCCTGCCAGATCAAGTCTCTCTCTCTCTCTCTCTCTCTATCTATGATTATACTAGTACTAGTAGTACTTACTCCCTTCCTCGATTATATATATACGTATATCCATTTCCTTATGATGACTATGTTATAGGACGAGTCCACAAGAAACACTTTAAAAATGCTTGTTAAATTTCTATCGTTTGGCACCATGTCCTCATCATCATACCAATATGTTAAAAGTGAAAGAAAATTATTTATGTTTATGACAACTACAGGTTTATAGAAAGAATATTTATCATGGAATAGTTCACTTCAGGGCCTAATAGCTCATATGAGAGTTTTACCAAAACTAGTTTGATTAATATGGAATTCCCTAATGCATTTCCACAAACAAAATAAGTTCTATCATTATCACATGGAGTAATTGTATTATCCAAATTCTGTTACAGAGTACATTGAACGGGGATGCTTAAGAATCAGCAAAGGCAGAGAAGAGGGTCAAGAAACTAAAAGAATGATAACAAAGTCTAAGTAGGTTTAAACCTCTTCAAGCCAAACTCTATTAGAACAAAAGGAGGAAAGATTTGAATCTTTTTTTTGGACCAATTTTGTCACAGAATCAGCAAAGATGAGTTTCTTCAACAAAAAGTACTCTAAGATTGAGGCATTGTGTTATATATGCAACGAACTTATAATATTATTAATCCAAGTTCTGGGTAATAATGGAAAGGCTAGAGTTCTGGGTATCCTGGATTGTGAGAAAATGTTCTTGTTGCTGATATATCACTAGAAATCAGCAGAGCAGGGCACTCCCTCTGGCCTTTGGACTCTTTATCTCTTGGATGTTTGGGAATGGAATGAAATTTAGGATTGTAAAGATTAAATTATTTGGTAATTTGTTTAATATTTCTTATGAATGTCAACTACACATCACAAAAATTAGATAGCAAGAATTAACCCCCATTGGTTACTGCGGTGATGGTTCCTCCATCAATCTCTGCTTCCAACATCCTGGCTCTGTATCCAGGACAAGGGGTGGAAATTTGACAACACTTCTTATTCAAGAGTGGATTTAGAAGTTCAAGTTGAAGTTTGATATTGCATCTTTTATGCGTACAAAGTATTGTTTCAATTCTATTCTTTGCTTTGTGTTTCCATTCATTTCTTTCTAAAAGAGATTTCACAAAAGGACCATCTGAATGAAAACCCCAATTCATTTGAATTTTGATTGGACTGACTGATCCAGGCTGAACAAGCAATTGGTAAAAGGGTTTCTGACAAATGCAAAAGTGCTACTAAGGAAGGAGGAAGGAGAGATTCATGTAACGCACAAGGAGGGTGATCCTTACAACCGGTGGGACTTGGTGAAGAAAGCAGAGAAGATAGGTCTGGCTTTACATGAGAGTGTGCCTTTCTGCAAGCATAAGTATCCCGGTTATGACAACAAGAGAGGCTGTGGTAGCCATCCGGATGATCCTTTCCCTTTAGGGGACTGCACTACTTTCAAGTTTAGACTTGCTCCCTAATAATTAATTCCTTACATTAGTTTTGATTACTTGGTGCAAGAAGTTTGAATTATGAACTATGTGACAATGATCTCTTTTGTTTAATATGTAGACACCCTAAAGTGAAAATTACATAGTATTGTGGTTATATTATGAACATTATGATTATGTTATGTACAGTGTTACAAATCATTCTATTGAGTAAAGTTATTACATATTGTGTTATGTTATATACTTTGTAGTAGGATACATATAGTATTTTTTTTTTAGGAGTGTACCGTAATAGCTCCCACCCAAATAGAAATTAAAGAAAGAAAGAAAGCCTGCAATCCCCCTGAAACCGTAGACAAATTATGGTAGTTATCAATTGGCGTGGCCAATATATAATTATAATTCCTGTACAAATGCATCACGAACCTCTCCAGGAGGCCCTTCCTGGTCACACGGTTGGTTTCAATGTGAAAAATGCTTCTGTCAATGATCTCAAACCTTGTTACGTTGCATCAAATTCCATGGATGATCCAGCGAAGGAGGCTGCCAATTCCACCTCCTAGATCATTGTAACGAACCACCAGGGCAAAATTAGAAATGGTTACACTCCAATTCTCCACTGTCGTACCTCCCACGTGGTGGTTGAGTTTGCTGAGCTTTTGACCCAGGTTGACAAGAGCGTGGTAAATTGCTTGAGAAGAATCTTGGGTTCTTGGAACATAGGGATTCTGGCCTTATCAAAATGATTCTGACAAAGCCCATGGTGACAGGTTTTCTCTAGCCATCCACCGCTTGGCCATTTTGGTTTGGGCGATAGGGCGCCAAACTCTGGCAGTTGGTGCATCAAGAGCGTGGTGGAGGATGAACGAACTGTTGCCAAGGTCACTACTACAAAATCGTGGTCTAAAGAGCACTAATCACTGTAAATGTATATTATCAAATGTATAATTTAGAACATAAGATGTTCATCTCATTGTCAAAGCCAAGGGACTCGGCTACAATAAAATAACCTATGTAACTTTCAACATAATAGCTACGGACTATAGTATACTTTTTCTGCTTTGTAATCACTGAGAGTTTCAGAAGAGGGGCCCATGGAAACAGCACTTGTGAAACCACTTTTCAAATGACAAAAATCCAGAACCCCCATAAAATCCAAAGCCAAACAATGACCCACTTACTATGCAAATTAAAACTTGAAGAATTACTACCAGTGACGCCAACAAGAAATCTACAATGACCAATTGAAGGATCTAGGAAAGTGATCATCCCAAGCCCATCAAAATCACAGCTCTTCGAGTCCTGTTTTTGCAGCTGATAGTAACTGTTGAACGCATATGAAATATTACCCTTTGCTCCAATGGCATTGCACGATCCTCCATAGTTGAGTGTCGTGCAATCTGCAACACTGCAAGCAATTCTAATGTGGTTTGCCACGCCAGATAGATCCCTGGAAGGGTTTGCTACACACCACCTTGATGGGAGATACTGAACATCCTTTGCATTCTTCAACAACCGATGTCCTAAACCAAGGTTTAATGGGTACTTTGCCTGGCCATCAAAGGAGAAAATGCCCCAGTGTCTCTCGAAGTTCCCTGGCATTATACTCTTTGCCCCTTCATCTAGAAGACTGAAAAGATATATATCGATTGGAGGAACATCTGGCCTCAGAGGAGTTCCTTTGTTACTCAGAATGTGATTTATGAGGCCTTGATTGAAAGCCCTTGCAGCGGTAAGATTTGCACTGACGGCTCCATCTGTAGGCCAACCCACCTCCCCTATAATAATAGGCATCTGACCATACCCGATTTTGCTAAGGGCAGCAACTAATGTGTCAAAATTTCCATCAAATGCATTGTAATAAACGTTTGGTCCATCTGTCACAGCGTGGTTAGTCCCTTCAAAGAATGCGTAGTCTTGTGGAAAATCTGAGTTTCCATACAAGCTTAGAAATGGGTAGATATTGACTACAAAAGGGGAACCATTAGAGTTGAGGAATGAAACGATTTGGGTCATAATTTGGGTCAGTTCAGGCCGGAAGGCTCCTTGAGAAGGTAGGGAAGACTCATATGCATCGGCGTTACAGGGGACTACTAGCTTTACAACGCCTGCCAGATTTGCTTTGGCCAAGGACTGTTGCAGATTCATCAGAGCCGGGACAACATATGACTGAAATTCACCCGAATAACTTGCAAGGAAGGGCTCGTTTCCTACTGCAACATACCTGATGACATTGTAAGAATCAAATAGCTTATTATAAAACTGAATAGACATATTTATTGGAAAACACAAGCTTATTTCATATTTTTTAATATGCTATAGAACTAGTTTCATAATACAGCCCCGAGAAATTTGAATAATGTTTTTACAGTGATTATCTCTACCAAATTTACATACCAAAAAAAAAATCTATGCAGTCGAATGAGTTTCCCTTGATATTTAGTAAGGTTTATCTGCTTCAAGGACCATATTATTTTATGTCCAGTTGCTTAAAGAAACCGCTGTAAAAAATTGATGTGGAGATGCGACACATAGATGTCACAATTTGACAAATTTAATAATATTAGTGAATCCCACAACAAGGCTACGAATTTCTAACCAATCCTATCCTAATACGATATCCAATCATTCCCCTACTAGTTGGCTGAAACGGATAATTTTTGATTAATTGGTAGATTTCCCTCAGATCTAGTACTTGAGAATGAACAACAACAACAAAAGTGGATACCACACAACACAAGAAAGAAACTTGGCTGCAAACCAAAGTGGATAAGAAAAACTAAAACCATTATGACTCATCTGGGTTGGTTTTGCCCTCTCTCTGTTTCTTGTTTTGTTTCTTTCTTCCAAGATTCAGAATCAGAACAAGACATGGAAATTTTTTTCAACAATTTCCCCTAGTTTTGGCAGCAACTAAACAAACAAACAAACAAACACAAGGCAAAGGGAATTAAAACAGAAAAAAAAAGAACAACCTGATATCAACACCACCTTTAACGATATATCTGGAAACATTCTGGCGGACCCACAGATCAGAAGCAACAGTGGAGGAGCTGAGGAGAGACAACATCTCATTGGGAATCCCAACCATGAGTTGAATCCCAGTACCCATGAGAGATTTGAGAACATCAGGGTCGGCATCGAAGAGCTTCACTTTCTGGATGTTGTTGAATTTGAGGAGATCCACCACCGTCGATGGAGACAGCTTGTGGAGGGACACCGTCCCCCAGTTCACACCCAATCCTGATTCCGCCACAATTGCCGACCAGCTCCACACCACTAACGCCAACGCCGCCACACCTAATAACTTGCTGCCTTCTGCCATTTTGTTGTTGTTGTTATTAATAATGTATAGCTATAGCAGGAGGGAATCGAATCCAATCCAATCCAATCCAATCCAATCGAGAGATTTCAAAGGGTCCTCCTCCTCGGAGGGTTGTACTGGTTCATCCAAAATGGAAAAAGGGCAGTAATTTCTGTGCTAGGAGTGTACAAGTAGAAGGAAAGTGTGTGTGTGTGTGTGTGTGAGAGAGAGAGAGAGAGAGAGAGAGGAAACAGTGAAACAGATAGAGAGAAAGGTGAGCCGAAGGGCAATCTCTCACTTCACTTGTTGGAGAATGAACGGGGGAGGGAGTGGACACATATTATATCTTCCAATAATTACAAAAAATTGCTTAAATCCTACGATTACTTACTGTTAATCATTTCCACTCAGAAAGTTTTAAAACAGCCAATTACATTTTTACCATTCAATTATTTCATATCACTTTATTCTTAAAATTAAAAATTACCATAGTTTTATTTATTAATTTATTTTCAACCTAACTCTTAATGGTGTAAGATAAAAAGACAAATTACACTTTACCTCTTTAAACTACTATCATTTTTTCGTCTCAATTAAACAATGCTACTATGTTACACTTTGTAACTTTTGAATTATCTATTTGTATCATTGTGAACCCTCTTAAGAATTTGTTACATAAATGATAGCAGCTCCACATGTGACTTACACATAATAATATCTCAAAATTTTAAACTGTTTACAATGACTTTATTCTTCATTTTTTTTTTCTTTTTTCTCTCTCCATCCCTCATTTGTCTATGGCTACCATTGTTTCCTAGGGCGAAATAAAGGAAAATTGGTTTGAGTTTTCTAAAAATACTTTTTAAAAAATTTTACTTTCTTATTTTTTGAATTTTTTTGTTTTTACCAAAAATTTTTAATATTTTAAGCAATTTTTTTAATTTTTAGATATATCAAACTTAAATATACTTAAAATGTATAATTCTTGTGAAAAAATCTTTAAAAAATTCATTAAATACTAAAAATACAAAGAAATGCAAAAATTTAGTACATTTTTCATATTTTTGCGTATTTATTAATTTTAACAAATATTTTTTCACAAATATTTTATTTTTTAGCCACATCTAAGTAAGATGAATCTAAAAAAGTAAAAAAAAAATAGTTAAAATTTAAAAAATATTTACTAAAGACAAAAAAACATGAAAAATAAAAAAACTCAATTTTTAAAAAATTTAATTCAAAAAATTCAAACCAAACACACTGAATAATGTCATTTTAATTTCATAATATTTGAGAAGTTATGTGCAAGTCATATACTAATTTTTCGTCTATTTATGTAATTGGTCTTGACCGGAAGGTTTACATTGATACAAATTGATAGTTTAAAGTGGCAAAATATAAAAAAATTTAGTTGATCAAGTAAAGTGATGATACAATGACATAAAATGTAATTTATCCTATAGCTAAAAGGGTATATTCGTCATAAAAGTATAGATTAAAAGAATATTTATACATCCATTAATTTAAAAGATAAAAGAGATAATAGTTGAGGGGATAGAAATTATCCTTTTAAAAAATTACATTAGATGCCTTGACATTTATTTTTCATACACATAAAGGGAGAATATGGATCCATGTTGCCTTCAATTTGAAGTTTTGAAAAAAAAAATCTGTTAATTATTTAAATGATCTTAGAGCATCTGCAGTGGGAGCGGCTAAACTCATAATTTGGTAGGAGAAATGGCAAAATGTGTTCCAATGAGGACAAATGACAGCTGTTAAATTTGGTAAATGTCCCATATGTGCCATTTTTGCAGAAGAAACGCATAAATTGGTGTGTTCAGACGACTGGCCGGTCAACTGAGCGGTGGTCCGGACACACTAATTTCTATGCCAAAATGACAAAAATAGCAGTTGAAGCATTTTATTCATTTTTTACTATTCATTGCTATAATTTGATAATGACAATGTAATTGTAACATTTACTATTAGAGATGTTCTTAGTACTATGCATAAATATAGAAAATCCCAACAACACTATTACGATGGTGTTTGGGAAGTGAGTTTTTATGTAGATTTTAGTAGATGTAGGTTTTTATGAGATAAAAAATTTTTGGTGTTTGGGAAGATAGTTGGGTTTTTATGTGGTTGGATGTGATGTTTGTGAGAGAAAAAGTGAAATGATTATGGGGTTGGATGTGATATTTTGTTTGGATGTGTTTTTTTTGATTTTGCAAAACTTTTGTCTTTTAGTGAAAAAAATGAGAAAAAAATTTGGGAACTTGCTTCCCAAACACCACCGTATATACACTAATATAAAATTTTCAACCGAATCAATTTTTAAAATGGCCTTAATTCTTCATTTTTTAATATTAATTTGGCACACAAGTATGTGCGCCTCACTTCTAGTTATACAGTATTAGAGAATTGAATGGAGAGGGACTTCGACGACAAGTGGTATTGAAATTTTATGTTTTCTCAAATTTAAAGTAATGTCTGTGTGTAACTATATTCCATTAGTTACCCTTGTATAGATACAGCTAGTGCGCACAGTGTGATGCACCGGATTTTAAAAAGTGAATAATTATTAAAAAAAGATTTATTATTTGATTGTTTTTCTTAATATTTTTATTTAGTTTGTTTATATAAATCTTACTTCACATTATTAAAAATATTTAATATTTTAAATTATTGAAAATTTTAAAAAAAATTATCATATATTAAGTAAATCATCACATAAATAATAGTTAATTTATCTAAGAATTATTTTAGACAACTAAAAGTAGCGTAATAAAGGCATATTATAATTAATTAAAATGACTAATATTAAATAAAAGTAACACTAATTTTGTTTAATCAATAATAGATATTACATTAATCATCCCACATAGTATAATGAATTAAAATCAAATTAATCTTAATTATCATTATACTCAGTTAGGGGTTAAATTTTTTTTACAAATAAATAGGTTTGGAATGATTCTAAAAAATAAAATAAAAAAGTTTGGAAATGCATTAAAGTTGAATTGACAAATGTAAAGAATATAGATATTTAAATTATTAAAAAAAATCATTTTTAATATGAGATCTCTTCCATTTGCTCAAACTCTGAATCTGAATATTAAAAAAAAAAATTTAAAAAAAGAAGAAATTTGTGATTTAATTCTCAAAGTAAATGAGTTACTAAAAATAAATTTAATTATGAGTTATTTCAAAAGGATAATCAACAATAGAAAATCAACTAATGAATACATTTAAAGTATAAATTCATGTCCAATAAATTTTGATGTGTTCTTCATTTTCAATCTAACAACTGCACCAAAAATAATTAAACACAACTAGTCAATAAGTGAGAGAGTTACAAATTGATAATAGTAGTGCTTAAAAAAAAGAAAAAGAAAAAGAGAGAGAATAAAATCTCAATTAAATGACACATTATTAGCAAAAAGAAAGAAATAAAGAAAAATACGGATTGTAACAAAAAAATTTAAAAATAAAATAATAATATCCATTTACATAAACTCACTTTCTATAGCGATTCCGATTTTGACCCGACTCTTATTATATCCCAGGTTCGGGTTTAATGGTTTTTATATTGTTGGTCATATGTTGCTTCCCTTGTATTTCTTTGAATTTGGCTTTTGGGTTGTTGTGGTTGCGCTTGGAACATGTTGGTTGCTTGGTTTTTAAACCTTTTGTTGCCCAGGATTTTGCTCCTTTGCTCAAGCGGCACTTTTTGCGTTCGAACAGCCTTTGTGAACTCTCAGTATTTTTGTAAGTCTGTAAAACTACTAGAAGAGTGTATTCTATACTCAAGCGACATTTCTTAAGCTCGAGCGTTGGTTTGTTGTCTACAAAACTAATGAGAGTGTGCATTTTGCGCTCGAGCGTCACTTCTTGCGCTAGAGCAGAATAACTTATTGTGTCTAACGCTCAAACGTCAACTCTTGTACTCGAGCGGACTGTGTGTATATTAATTTGTAACAACCACATTTTTCATTACTTTTCCATCTCTTCCTCTCTCTAAAACTCTTCAAAACCCTAGATCTTGAGTTTCTCTATCTAAAACTCATATTCTCTCTACTTTTTCACCTAAATCCATTGGGTTCTCCACCCTAGTGCCTTTAAGAAAAAGATAAAGCGCTCATAGAGCTCCGTTTTGACCCGAATAAGATTTGGTTTCGGCGTCCTTGAAGTTGCTCCATTGTTGCTTTGATCTTCTAACTTTGAGGTAGGAACTTTCTACACTCTCTTATGCATTTTAATTTAAATATTTGTTGTTGTGTAAATGATGTTGGGATTTGAAGGATTTTTAAACAAACCTAGGGTTTTGGTTTTAAATTCAAAAGAGGGGTTTTCAAATAAAGGCATTGAAAATGATTACGGGTATAGATATGAGGTTGTGTGATGTCAAATTGGTTGATTTTGTCACGTGGATTGGATTTTGGAAGGGAATGGAGTTTTGTCCTAAAATGCTTCGTCCTAAAATGTTTCAAATAATTATTTTTTATAAATGATGAAATTGGTATTGGGAATGTGAAATTGAATAGATGTTTATATAAATGGTGGAATCGGATATGTATTAAATTTCACCTATGGAAATTTGGTTAATTTATCTATCTTGGAGATTGTATATCTGTTTAGAAATATCTATTTTGGGTTACTGGTAGAGGATAGCTATGATTGTTGTAGAAATTGCATGACGATTAGGTGAATTGAAATTAATCTCTTATTGATTGTCATTGAATATGACTGTGTTTTAATATATTGTATATGCATGATGTTCGGGAGCAGAAATGGGATGTACTCCATGTTCTGAGAGGAGAAAGATGATGGACTCTAGTGAATTAAGTTGGCCTGTGTGTCCAAGGTAAAAGTCTCGAAAATCGTTTGTATACATAGATGCCGATCCCGCAGACAAAACTTCCGTAAAATGGCAAAGTGAAGTGTTTGTGTAATGGTTATATTGATTAGAGAACCACTAAGTTGTAGCCTCAGTTGGGTTGTTTAGATAACAATAAATGTGACTTATGAGTTGAGGTGAAATGAATTGATTTGAAACGAATTGAGATAAAATGGGTTGAGACATAGAACTTAGCATATTATGATATTGTAATTATAAATGATTTTATCACCGACATTGTATATGCACATCATGCTTATATCTTTGTTAAGATTTATAGATTGTCTTAGATTGTTTCTACTGGGTTTTGGCTCACCGTACGTGGAAAAAACATTTCAGGTACTGGTGATATGCTTCTGCCAAGGTAGTGACTTGGAAGGATTGGGAGCAAAAGCTTCTCTTTTGGTGTAATTATTTTG